CATATTTTCCAACATTATTTATCCAGAACAAAACACTGCAAACTAATTTTGTACTTGCTGTCTGACTCCACAAACATTATGTATTTTTCTTGATGTCGCCATAGCATTATACCTTCTCTTGAATTCCTATGAGATTTTTGTGATGTCAGACGCCTTTGTGTTGTCACTTTTGGGATGTCAATGAATGCTTGTTATCACATTCATAATGCTTGTTGTTGTCAAGACTTTGGAATCACAGATACTAGTAGTCACTCCTATGAATAATACTCACACTAGTGATACTTGTTCGAATAGTAACTGCTGAATAGTAATCTGAAGAGTGATCAGTATAGAGGATAGTATAGAGAATCACGATCACTTAGATGCCACACTTATTCCCATATATACCTTTCCTTTACAATCATGTGGTCTATTTATTAGAAATGGAATCACCTGTGTTTGCCAAACGGTGATCTGTGTTCAAACTCCAGTGTTGGAAATAACACTATCCCTATACAACAGACATGATGCAATATAAATGCACTTTGAATCCCATTTGTTATTGGGTTAAGAAATTTTGTCTTTAATCCACTGTGTACACTGTCACATGGCTGAGTGGCTAGAATGTTCGCATTCTGACCATGAGACCCATGTCAAATCTCACTAAGGTCGATTTGTCAGGAAGGAGACTTCCTGATATTATCGGTCTGTAGGGGGCAATTCCAGTATACAGCAAAATGCCTAAAAACCAAGCCTTGTCAGTGAAATACCCCTGGGGTCATCGATAGATGGGCTAGCATGAAATCACAAGTCATTGTGACTGAGAGTTTGAGTGTGCTGGCCTTATTGATCATGCTAGATAACGTGTTCTTTCCCAGAAACTGTAGCTAAGGTTTGATTAGCACAGTTGCAGCATAAACCACTGTATGTGTTGGACAAACACAAATGTATCTGAGTAAACATCTGCAATAGGGATTGGCTAGCCACTCTATTAGATGGATATCCTCGAATACAAGTAGCCAGCAATATACTGTCACTAATGTACTTTTGATTTTATATAGCAGTGTACTCAAAACCTATTCTTAAATACCAAGTTTGATTAGAATTTAAAAGGATACAGTGTCATTATAGTTCTCAAAAAAAGAAAATCAACCAAGCAACACTCAACAAAATTTATTACAAATATAGCAACAACATATTAAAATGCTTATAACATTTAATGCCTGTCTATATTTCTGAGATGAGGTATTATGTACACTATTTACATTATTCGGACTATTGTCGCCCTATCCACTGTGCCATGTGTCCTAAAGGAAACATAGCACAGTGGATAAAAGTGTTGGTTAGATCCAGTGACAGGACCCAAAGAGTGTGAGTTCAATACCTGGTTAAGGTGGTGGAGAACTTGAAAATGGGAATTAACAGGAGATAACTGACATCCATTAGACATGGAACTAGATCAGTCTACCCCAGTGAGCAAAATAAAGGATTCAGTTTGACTTTCCAACCACCTGAAGAAGGCCAGAGTGTACAATGGCTGAAACGTAATAAATATGGCGACAAAGATGAGGACAATAGTCTGAATAATGTAAATAGTAAACATTTAATGCCATTTTACATTTCTATCAGTACCCAGTTAGCTCCATTATACGGCAACGCTTGTTTTGTAAAAAACTCCATAACTACAATGGATAAATTTAAAATTTTAAAATAACTATGACAGAGTGTGTTTGCACATATTTTAAATAAAACACTATCATGACAGAATGTAGATTTTAATCACAGTTACAATAGCATGTTTTTCATTGCAATTTATATCTGAAGATAATCTTAGAAAAGGTTGAAAGTACTTGGATTAAAAAAGACTTCCTTGATGATCTGTACAAAAATGAAAAAAAAATTTGTTACTATATGTCTATATTATTGTAGAGGGAATATCCATGGTTAAATGCAAAATAAACAAGAGAATTGCTCAACAAACAAAATTGACAAAGTTTGTAATAAGCAATAGCAAGAAAAGGAAAAGGGCAAAAAACAAACAATATATGCAAGGCAAATCAATGGTTATATGGCAAAAAATTTCAGTAACTAAGAATTGGGATTAACACACAAGAGAATGTTCAGACAAGTGAACATAGCATTCTCACTTCATGACAAGGTGGTTGTTCAGGGACCTTGTGGCATACTGCGTATCAGTTCTCTGTATTCAGCTCTCCTCAACAAAGTGTGGTTGGTTCTTGTTATATAGGAATAAAGTGTCACTGCTGACATTGTAGTTTGAACATAGATCTCCTGAGAGCAAACACAGGCAATCCCATTTGAAATAAGTAGATCATATGATAGTAAAGGAAATGTATATATGGGAATTAGTGTGACGTCTAAATGATCACTATTTCTACTCTATTACTATATGGATCACTATTCTATACTCTATCCAATATATTATTTCTCTATTCAGATCACTATTCAGTATTTACTATTAAAGCGAGTATTATCAAGCAAGTACTATTAGTGTGAGTGTTATTCGAATGCATCTGACACCAGTATTGTTCAACGGCATTACTATAGTTGTATCTGCAATTACAAAGTCTCTACTATAACAAGCATTACAAAAGTGACAACACAAAAGTTTTGCACAAGATTCCATCATTATAATCAAATATGTGTGGATAGTCTGGCTGTTGGTTCTAAGAATTGAGCTGCTTGATCCTCACAGGTTGAAAATGACCGAAGAGTCCAGTTGTGTGTGTGTGTATATATCAGTTGTTAAAATTTGGATATCAGATCAGTTCTTTTAAATCAAAATATATGGTGCAGTTTAATTTATATTACAATGAATCACTCATACAAAAAGTAGATTAGTAAAGTTAATGATATATAAAATGGCGAAAACTCTTCGCAACAAAATTTTAAAGGTGCATTAACCTACGAACCACTCGATGAATGTTACGATCCTTGTTTTTAATAACTACAAGCCGTATAAGGTCTTTTTTTTAATCTGCAAGTAGTTTCAACTGTACATACAGTCATCCTCAGGCATGGAAATTATTTTGTTTTTAGTAAAATCTAGGTAGCATCAGAGACGAAAAACTTAAATGCGAATCAAAATATATTTTTTTTAGAAATGTGTTATTGTTAAAGGTTAAAAACTTTTGGAGTGTGCAGCCACAATGCTAAGATTGAATTGAGAGTGCGATTTTTTACTAATATGGTAATTGGAGAATTTTTTTGTTGTAGGAATTTATCAGTCAATATTGCATGAACTAAATTGTTCAATAAATAGAGTAATGTCTCAGTTGTTAAAAAGAAAATTTGCACGTTGGATCAGTTATTTAAATCATATATATATATATATGCCTAACTACTTGGCCATATAGGACTTACCGTCAAACAAAGTGCAAATGGTGCCTTTTGAATACTCTACCAATTCTCAAAATATCCTTATATATGCTCTGTATCGGATCCTAACATAAACAAAGAAAATTTATCTTTAAGAAATGGAATAAATATGACATTTTCTTTTTTAATTTATTTTGTTTAAACTTTGTTCTTGATAGATACTCATATTCAAATATAAGCTCCGTTTTTTTAATTAAACAGTATTTTTTTTTTATCTTACTACATCTACTGGCCTGACTATTCGAGATCTTGTCAGGGGCAGAGGTTCAAATCCAGCCAGAGGATGCATATTTTCTGACATGAATAATTAAAAAACAGAGCTTCTATTTGAATATGAGTATCCATCAAGAATAATGTTTAAACAAAATAATTTTTTTAAAAATAATATATATATATATATATATATATATATATATATATATATGTGACTACCCTCTTATATAGTAAAGAGAGCAATAAACATTTACATATATGTAGAATTTGCCTTTAAAAGAGTGTAATGATTTTGGCATCTTGAAAACTTTTCAAGAAAAATTATTGAGAGTAGTGGGTCAGAACATTGTGACCCAGTCTTTTTTTAAATTTTTTTCCTGTCCTGATGTGAGAATGTGTGACATTTGGTTTTGAATTTGTTTGTGAATGATTACAGCAAATGTTTGCAATAAGACGTGGGTTGCTGTTTGGGGTAAAATTATAGGAGCTGGAGGGATTGAATGGCAGAGAGCTGCAAATAATTGGGTTTTATGTTTTAAGAATGAGATGATGATTTAATAATGATGAAAAGAAAGGTTCTAAATGAAGACAGCATAGTTTCAAAGAGACAAAGAATAAGTTAGCAAGAGAGAGAGTTAGAGAAAAAGAAAGAGTTAGCAAGAGAGAGAGTTAGAGAAAAAGAAAGAGTTAGCAAGAGAGAGAGTTAGAGAAAAAGAAAGAGTTAGCAAGAGAGAGAGTTAGAGAAAAAGAAAGAGTTAGCAAGAGAGAGAGTTAGAGAAAAAGAAAGAGTTAGCAAGAGAGAGAGTTAGAGAAAAAGAAAGAGTTAGAGAGTTAGAGAAAAAGAAAGAGTTAGCAAGAGAGAGAAAAAAGAAAGAGTTAGCAAGAGAGAGTTAAGAGAAGAGAGTTAGAAAAGAAAAGAAAGAGTTAGGGAGAAAGAAAGTTAGAAGAGAAAAGAAAGAGTTAGCAAGAGAGAGTTAGAGAAAAGAAAAGAGTTAGCAAGAGAGAAGAAAAGAGACAGAGAGAGTTAGAGAAAAAGAAAGGAAGAGAGAGTTAGAGAAAAAGAAAGTTAGCAAGAGAGAGAAGAGAAAAAGAAAGAGTTAGAAGAGAGAGAGTTAGAGAAAAGAAAGAAGCAAGAGAGAGAAAAAGAAAGAAAAGAGAGAAAGAGAAAAGAAAGAGTTAGAGAGTTAGAGAAAAAAAAGGAAGAGAGAGAGAAAAAAGAAAGAAGAGAGGGAGTTAAAAAGAAGAGAGGAGAGAAAAGAAAAAGAAAGAGTTAGGAGAGAGTTAGAGAAAAAGAAAGAGAAGAAGAGAGAGAGTTAGAGAAAAAAAAGAGTTAGCAAGAGAGAGAGAGAGAAAAGAAAGAGTTAGCAAGAGAGAGAGAGAAAAAAGGAAGAAAGAGAGAGAAAAAGGAGTTAGCAAGAGAGAGAGAGAAAGGAAGAAAGAGAGAGAAAAAAAGGAAGAAAGAGAGAGAGAAAAGAAAGAGTTAGCAAGAGAGAGAAGAGAGAGAGAGAAGAAAGAGAGAGAAGAGAAGAGTTAGAGAAAAGAAAGAAGAAAGAGAGAGTTAGAAGACAGAGAGTTAGTGGAAGAGACAGAGAGTTAGAGAAAAAGGAAGAGAGAGAAAGAAAGGAAGAAAGAGAGAGAAAGGAAGAAAGAGAGAAAAAGGAAGAAAGAGAGAGAAAAAGGAAGAGAGGGAGAAAAAGAAGAGAGGGAAAAAGAAAGAAAGAGAAAAGAAAGAAAGAGAGAAAAAAGAAGAGAGGAGAGAAAAGGAAGAAAGAGAGAGAAAAAAGAGAGAGAAAAGAAGAAAGAGAGAAAAGAAGAAAGAGAGAAAAGAAGAAAGAGAGAAAAGAAGAAAGAGAGAAAAGAAGAAAGAGAGAAAAGAAGAAAGAGAGAGAAAAAGAGAGAGAAAAAGAAAAGGAGAGAAAAAGGAGAGAAAAAGGGAGAGAAAAGGAGAGAAAAGGGAGAAAAGAAAAAGGAAGAAAAGGAGAGAAAAAAAGAAAAAGGGAGAGAAAAAGGGAGAGAAAAAGGGAGAGAAAAAGGGAGAGAAAAAGGGAGAGAAAAAGGAAGAAAGAGAGAGAAAAAGGAAGAAAGAGAGAGAAAAAGGAAGAAAGAGAGAGAAAAAGGAAGAAAGAGAGAGAAAAAGGAAGAAAGAGAGAGAAAAAGGAAGAAAGAGAGAGAAAAAGGAAGAGATAGAGAGAAAAAGGAAGAGAGAGAGAGAGAAAAAGGAAGAGAGAGAGAGAGAAAAAGGAAGAGAGAGAGAGAGAGAAAAAGGAAGAAAGAAAGTTAAGGAAGTTTATAAAAAAAGAAAGAAAAGCAGAAGAATGTTTGAGAAAAATAAATGGAAAGCAATGAAGAAAGCTGAGTTAAAAAAATAGGCAAAAAAAAAAGAGTTTCAAAGAAAGGAAACTGGAAGAAAGAAGAAAGGAAACGATGAGCAAACATGAATAAGAGAAAATGAGCAAGAGAAAGAAGAGGAGCAAGAGGAAGAGAAAGAAGAGGTGGAAGAGAAGGAAGAGGAGGAAGAGAAAGAAGAGGCGGAAGAGAAAGAAGAGAAGGAAGAGGAGCAAGAGAAAGAAGAGGAGCAAGAGAAAGAAGAGGAGCAAGAGAAAGAAGAGGAGCAAGAGAAAGAAGAGGAGCAAGAGAAAAGAGGAGCAAGAGAAGGAAGAGGAGCAAGAGAAAGAAGAGGAGCAAGAGAAGGAAGAGGAGCAAGAGAAAGAAGAGGAAAGAAAGAAGAGGAAGAAGAAAGAAGAAGAGAGAAGGAAGAGGAGCAAGAGGAAGAAGAGAAGGAAGGAAGAGGAGCAAGAGAAGGAAGAGAAGAAGGAAGAGAGAAGAGAAAGAAGAGGAGCAAGAAAGGAAGAGGAGCATTAAAGATAAAAAAGGAAGAAAAGAGAAAGAAGAGGAGGAAGAGAAAGAAAAACATTAAGATAAAAAAAGAAAGGTGGAGGAAAAATGAAAGCATAGATGTAAGAAAAAACAAACCAAAGCAATAAAAAAGATTTAATGAGAATATTTAAAAAATCAAAGAAAATCTTATAAAAAAAAATGATTGAAAAAGTTAAATTGAAATTATCAAAGAGTGAATGAAGTTTTGAAAATTTGAAAAAGAAAAAAATTCACATTCAAAGTTGATTTCATTCCTTTCAAATATCAGACTCACTGACACACAGCATTGTTGAAATTTATCTTTAAGTCGGGGAGCAGACACCAGCTGGTTTTTGACTGGCCACCTTTTCAAGTTGGCAGAAGATATTTGATCAGATTTCAGATCAAAATTTGTATTAAACCAAGTCTAGAAAATAAATTTTAAAAATATTTAATTTTTAAAAGAGAATTGGTAATGAGTTATATTTTACTAAAATATTCCTTTATTTTTTTTTTTAATCTTTAAATTAAAGTAAAACTAAAATTTCGGGAAGTGAACAAAAATAATATTTATGAAATTATAAAAGTTATTCACTGATGCACTCGTATCTTAGATGAGAAATTTGCCTCTATACTGACAGAACAAAAATATGTTAACTTTTATAATAATGAAGATCAATGGAGTGACAAGCTTCTTTATTTCAGTAAATAAATAATGTCAATTCATCATTTCTATTCTAATAGTTTCTACTCACCTGTGGAACTCTTCCAGCTTCTTGCTTTCCTGTCAACGACAATCCATAAACTAAACTGACAAAGATTTTTCATCATTGGCTTTACACCAACTCATTAATTACTCATAATTGTAAATAACGCAAGTAATCATAATACCTCATCTCGGAGATATAGACAGATATTGAAGGCATGGCATATGGAACAAGAACAATCTACCCTGGTGGACAAAATAAAGTGTTTGTTGGTCTATATTTCTGAGATGAGGTATTATGTACACTATTTACATTATTCGGACTATTGTCCTCATCTTTGTCCTCATCTTTGTTGCCATATTTATTATGTTTCGGCCATTGTCATATTCCCAATGTTTTGGCCATTGTGCGCTTCATTCATTTCAAACCAAGCCCTTTATACTATTTATATTATTCGGACTATTGTCCTCATCATAGATCCAGTGACAGGACCCAAAGAGTGTGAGTTCAGTAGCCACTTAAGGCAGTGGGGAACTTGCAGAGGGGAATTAACAGGAGATAACTGATATCCATTAAACATGACATGTTCGACTATATATATATATATATATGCAATAAGGTATTATGATTATTTACATTATTAGGACTGTTAATCAGGTGATTAAAACCTCAAGGACACATGGCCCAGTGGATAAAAACACTGGTTAAATCCAGTGACGAGACCCAAAGAGTTGTGCGTTCATTACTATGCTACAGCAGTGGTGAACCAAAACTTGGAGCATTGAGTTAAAGGGAAATACCTGAGACATCCAGAAGAGGCATGGCACATGGAACTAGAACAATCTACCCCCATGGACGAAATAAAAGTTTCAGTTCAAAATTCCAGTCACCTGATAAAGGCCAGAATGTACAGTGGCCAAAACATGAATACGGCAATGAAGATGAGGACAACAGTCCAAATAATGTAAATAACACTATATATATATATATATATATATATATATATATATATATATATGAGCATATGTAGTGCTTATTGGAAAGTTCTCAGTATCAGTAATAGAGCTAACATACTCAGTCATATGATGATCACAAAACATGAAACCCAGGGTCACCAACTCATATCTATACAACTGAGGGTTTTTAGCTATTTTTTGAAACATGGTTGGAACTGTGTGTGAAAAAACATTTTAAATCAATTAATTTATTTAATATATATATATATATATATATATATATATATATAAGAATGGATTTTTCATTTATTAATCCAACATACTTTATTTCTTAAACACTATTTTTAATGGATACCAATATTTGAATACTTGCTCCATTTTTTTTTTTTTTTTTTTTTTACTTATTTAGGAAAGAGTATATTTATTTATTTCCATCTACCAGCCTGAATATTTCAGAAATCTTTTTAGAAAATATGTGCTAAGCGCTATTCAGGCTGTGAGATGGAAATAAATATGCTCAAAATAGCCATTAAAAATAATATTTAAGCAATAAATTAAATTAAATATACAGTTGTGGAGAGAATTATTTGCCCCCATTCCGTAATTACAAATAAAACTGTTTTACCTCAAATTTCCATGGAAATTTTGTGTATTTTTTCACAAATGATGAAATAATGGAAGTGAAAGACTGTACAGTGATGCCCATAAAAAAATGTTCATTGTAATGTTAAACAATAATACAAAAAACACCAAAAATCATCTAACATAGGATAAAATTATTGACCCACTTCAGTAATCAATTGTTTAACCTTTATTCTTGATTATTACCTTTAATCATTTTAATAATTCCTTACAAGATCACTACACACAGTGACACTTTTTTTTTTTTATCCATTCTTCCTTGGCAATGTCTTCTCGTTTCTCCAAATTTGAAGGACTTCTTTGTCTAACTTATTTCTTCAAATATGCCCATACATTTTCAATGGCTTTTAAGTCAGAACTTTGCACAGAGTATGCTAATATCTTAATTCTGCTGTCATCTTAGTATTTTCTAGGAATTTGTGCCATGTTTCAGGTCATTGTCAACTTGGAATGTCCAGTAACACAACAAAGACAGCTTTTGTGCAGTTTGTTTTATATTATTTTTAAGAATAGCCAAGTACTGTACTTTATCCATTATACCCTGTACTCTCACTAGTTCCCCTGGTCTAGAAGCAGTAAAACATCCCCAGAGGAGAATGCTCCCACCACCGTGCTTAATTTTAGGGAGGGTATATTTTGGTTTGTGAACTTTATTCACTTTCCTCCATTCATAACAGGAGTTCATGTGACCAAATAATTCTAGTTTGGTTTCATCAGGCCATAAAACAAAATTCCAATATTTACTCCAATATTTTAGATGGCTTCTAGCATAAGTTAATCTTCATTTTAGGTGTTTAGCCTTATGCAAGGGAGTTTTCCTTGGGTGACAAGCTCAAAGTCCTGCTTGATGAAAGGATCTGGTGATTGTCTTCAGCAAAACATTCAACCTTGATGTCTTTACATTATTGACAATGTTCATTGTCATTAAATGAGGATTCTTCAAGGCATTTCTAACAATTTTCCTTACCATGAACTTTTAGAATGTTATAGAATCAAGTCAATACTATTTCATTTTCAAGGGGTGTTGTATTAAATGTCAAATTAAGAAAGAAAACATTACAATTGTCATAGAGTAATATTTCATAATTTCTTTAAGGTGGTGGGTACAGATAATTTTGGACTGCACCAATTTTTAGAAAATTCTATGACTATGAATATAATAGACTGAAACATCCAAAATCTTTTACAAATTTTCCTTAGAAAATATACAAATATTCAGTGGGTGGAGGTGAATGATTCTGTCCACAACTGTATATATGTAATGTTAGATTCTATAAAAAGCTTGTTAGCTCTTTGACAGCTCTTGCTTTTCATCCTGTGCGATGATATGCCACCCTCCTTGCTAGCAAAAAAGCTAGTTGGTTAGTGGGTTTACATGCCAACCACCTGTCCATGCAGAAATTTTTGGGAGAGGTTTAATGAAGTGAATTAAAAACTAACACCTAAACTCTGAAAAAAAATAAATAAATAAAAACAAATAATAAAATAAAATAAAATAAAAAAAATAAAAAAAAAATAAAACAAAAAAATAAAATAAAAAAAGAAAATAAAATAAAAAAATAAAACAAACTTTTGTTCATTTCTAGCCTCAAATCTTAAATAATTCTCTTTGAAGAATCCTCCAACCAATTTCTTTGAAAAAATTTTTCTTTCCAGCCTTGATAGAGTTTAAAATCATTTATGTGGTCTTGTGAGAGAGAACTTATTTTCCAATCTACTGCCTCATTCCCCACAGCCATAATGCCACAAGCCTATCACTTCTGCATAACTATTTCTACAGCAAGTTTTACCAATTCAGACTTTTATGCTAGCTACTTTATGAAACAGACTTTCACATAAACGCATCCATGAACACTGGGTCAGTTAATACAGTCAGTTATCATTATAACCTTTACTTCCTGCCACGTTCTCTTTCAATCATATTATGATCATTTTAACAGTCAGTCTCAACCTTGAGTTACTCTCAAGCCTTGTACTGGGTGAACTTTAGTATAAAAAAAAAAATCAGAATCTCAAATAATATAATTATTATTTATTACCATTGTAAATATTATAAATCATTTACATTTTTTATGTAAACACAAACACTTAAACTCTGAAAAAACTCATTGAAGTTAATTCCAATCTTCAAATCACAAATAATTCTAAATCTATCTTTGAAGAATTTCTGGCCTGTTTTTTTTTTTTTGAAGATACTTATCAGATTTTGCTTTCGCATATAGATAAACAGCAAGAATCAACTTTTCATTCTTTCCTTTGGTGTATGAATGCCTCTTGGCACTGTGCCCGGCATGTCTTTAAGTGATGTCTGGAGATTTGCCATTCTAATGGCAACTACAATGCGTCGTCTTCTTATTTGCAAATGAAAGATCTGAGCAGGGAGTGGACATGCCGCAGCTGTGTCAGGTGTCAGCTTAGGAGAGATTAGGACTCGACTTTGTCCTGACCTCACTTTTCACTATTTCAACATTTTATTTGGTTTTATGTGCTAACTTATGTCTAAATATTTGTACAAGACATTTACAAAAGATATGTACAAATGTGTGCACACATATAATTTTTGTATGTATGTATGTATGAGAAAGTGTTGAAAAGTTCTTAATCACCAAGAACAAACTAGGGCCATGAAATTTATGTATTTATCTCTCAGTTCAACATTAGAACATCAGTTCTGAATTTTGGTCATAACAGCATTGATTTGGAGAAATGTGGTAAACCAAGAATGTTTTGGCACTTCATTGCTTGTACACATACATACATACATACATATATATATGTATATATATATATAT